GAATGCTCAGAGTGTGGAAAGAGATTCAGTCGGAGTAGCAATCTTCAACGGCATCAGAGTATCCACACAGGGGAGAAACCTTTTGAATGCTCAGAATGCGGAAAGAGATTCAGTTGGAATGGCAGTCTTCTACAGCATCAGAGAACCCACACAGGGGAGAAACCTTTTGCATGCTCAGAGTGTGGAAAGAGATTCAGTGATACTAGCACTCTTCGGAAGCACCATAAAACCCACACAGGGGAGGAACCTTTTGAATGCTCAGAGTGTGGAAAGAGATTCAGTCTCAATAGAACTCTTCACCTGCATCAAAGAACCCACACAGGGGAGAAACCTTTTGAATGCTCAGAGTGCGGAAAGAGATTCAGTTACAGTTCCCATCTTCAGATGCATTTTAGAACCCACACAGGGGAGAAACCTTTTGCATGCTCAGAGTGTGGAAAGAGATTCAGTCTCAATAGAACTCTTCACCTGCATCAAAGAACCCACACAGGGGAGAAACCTTTTGCATGCTCAGAGTGTGGAAAGAGATTCAGTCTCAATAGAACTCTTCACCTGCATCAAAGAACCCACACAGGGGAGAAACCTTTTGCATGCTCAGAGTGTGGAAAGAGATTCAGTCTCAATAGAACTCTTCACCTGCATCAAAGAACCCACACAGGGGAGAAACCTTTTGCATGCTCAGAGTGTGGAAAGAGATTCAGTCTCAATAGAACTCTTCACCTGCATCAAAGAACCCACACAGGGGAGAAACCTTTTGCATGCTCAGAGTGTGGAAAGAGATTCAGTCTCAATAGAACTCTTCACCTGCATCAAAGAACCCACACAGGGGAGAAACCTTTTGAATGCTCAGAGTGTGGAAAGAGATTTAGTCAGAGTAGCACTCTTCAAGAGCATCAGAGAACCCACACATCGGAGTGGCAATCTTCACCCACACATCGGAGTGGGCAAATTGATAGAGAGAGCGGTGGCAACACAGCTGCAGGCATTTCTGGATGACGCTTCTATCCTCGATCCCCACCAGTCCGGGTTTCACCCTGGTCACGGGGTGGAGACTGTTCTGGTCGCACTGACTGACGACCTCCGTAGGCATCTAGATCAAGGCGGTGTGGCGGCACTGTTGCTGTTAGATCTGTCGGCCGCTTTTGATACGGTCGACCACCAGTTGCTGGCCCACCGCCTTGCCGACGTGGGGATTCAGGGGCTGGCCCTTCAATGGCTGGTCTCTTTTCTCCAGGGTTGGGGACAGAGGGCGGCGATAGGGGATCAGCGGTCCCGGAGGTGGCCCCTTGAATGTGGGGTACCTCAGGGGGCAGTGGTATTGTTAGATTCCCAGGCATTCAAAATAAATCCACGTTTGTAAGTAAAGCAAAATTTATTTCAAAGCGATGGTTCATACAGGAACAAGAGCATTGTTAGGAATACCCACAAATACAATGGGGCAACTTAATAAAGGAACTTAAACCAGGTTAGGGCCAATGGGCCCGTTTCCCGCTGGCAGGAATAGGACAGAGAACGAGCGCCCAATTCATGGGAAGCACAACGGTCCTGAAACATAAACACAAGTCAGTTCCCAAGCGAACTACCGATAATAAGCAAAGCTATGCCATGACTCCCACCTGCAGCTGCCGAGCTACTTGATAAGCAAAATGAAGCAACAGGATACAAGGGGGGGAAGGAAGCTTGGTGGGTTATGCAGGTAACCCCTGACACTATGGCAGCTAGCTGACATACTGCCCCCTCAAAAATACACTTTAACAACTCTCTCCCGGTTTCGGCGGGAGATTTCCCGGTTTGTCCAGGAACTTTTTGTGAAAAGCTCTGAGCATGTAAGGGGCCCTAATATCCCCTACTTCCACCTATTCTTGGTGCTGGGGACCGAAATCAACCCATCGGATCAGATACCAGAGCTTACCACGTTTCAGTTTCGAATCCAAGATGTCATCAATCTCAAAATGCTCCTCCCCATCAAGTACAAGGGGGGGAGGAGGTTCACGTGAAGGTCTCCACTGACAGTGACCAGTATCCTTTTTTAGGAGACTCATGTGGAAAATAGGATGCAAGGATTTTAGTTTTTTTGGTAATTCAACCTCAACAGCAGCATCATTCAAAATGCGTTGAACCTTGAAAGGTCCAATGTACTTCCACCCCAGTTTTTTACTAGGCCTTAACATTTTTATGTTTTTTGTAGACACATACACAAAATCACCAGGCTTGAGGTCCCATCCCACCACCCGTCCTCAATCAGCCTGTATCTTGTAAGCTGCCTTGGCTGCGTCCAATGTGTCACATAGCATAGGCCATGCAGCTTGTAAAGATTTACACCACAATCCTGCATCAGTAGGCTGAAGAGGAGTATTCCCCTTCAGAAATGGTAAGGGGGGATTATCATAGCCCAAAGCAGCCTTGAAAGGTGACATACCAATAGAATTGTGTAATGTATTGTTATAACAGTACTCTGCCAAAGGCAACAATTCACACCAGTCAGTTTGTTGATAATTAGTAAAACAACATAAATATTGTTCAAGGGTTTGATTAACCCGTTCAGTCTGTCCATCGGTTTCTGGGTGGTAAGCGCTGCTGAGACCTTGCTCTACCCCCATAATTTTAATCAGCTCCTTCCAAAATTTGGAAACAAATTGTGTGCCGCGGTCTGAAATTACCTTAGCTGGCAAAAGATGGAGTCTAATAATGTGATGCATAAACAACTTGGTAAGTTTGGCAGCCGTAGGAAGTGAGGGGAGAGAAACAAAATGGCTTTGTTTGGAAAACAAATCCACCACCACCCAAATGACAGTCTTCCCCTGACTAGGAGGCAAATCAGTGATAAAGTCCATAGAAACGACTTCCCAAGGTCGGTTAGGTGTGGGGAGAGGGTGCAACAGGCCGGGGGATTTTCCCCCCCTCGCAGTTTGGAGAGGGCACAAGTTTGACAAGTGCGTACATAATCAAGCATGTCTTTGCGCATGTGTGGCCACCAAAATTGACGCCGTAGAAGTTGGAGTGATTTCACAAAAACCCAATGTCCAGCCAGTTTAGATCCGTGTGCGAGCTGAAGAACTTCCCTGTGAAGAGAAATAGGCACATACAATTTTGTATCAGAATACACAAATCCTTCAGGGCTGCGGGCACAGTTGTGCAAGCTTAAAATCGCCTCCTCATCCTCTTTGGAGAAAGCAGCCTGGTAGCGGCTTTCCCAGTCATCCAACGGCGGGGGGGAGGAGTAGGCACAGGAGAAGAACCCGGCGAGGGGAGTTTGCGTGCCTGAGCTCTTGTTACAACAGCCCCCCCCAATTGGGCGGGAGTAAAGACCGAATCGATGGTGATGTCATGCTGGCTCTCATGTTGCGGGAGGCGGGATAAAGCGTCAGCAAGTGAGTTGGACGAGCCGGGAAAATGATGCAGTGTGAACTGGAACTTGGAGAAAAAATCAGCCCACCTCAGTTGTTTAGCGTTCAGGGAGCGAGGAGATTTTAGAGTTTCTAAATTCTTGTGATCGGTCCACACTTCAAAAGGGACCTTAGCCCCCTCCAGCCAATGGTGCCAGTTCGAAAGCGCTAGCCGAATTGCTGATGCTTCCTTTTCCCAAATACACCAGTGTCTTTTAGCATCAGAAAACTTTTTAGACACGTAAGCTAGAGGGTGCAGTTTTCCATCAGACCCCTCTTGTAGAATCGCTGCCCCCATAGCCACATCCGATGTGTCAGTTTGCACTATGAACTTTTTAGATTCATCCGGGTGTGCAAGGATGGGCTCGGAGGTGAACATCCGTTTCAATTTATTAAAAGCAGATTCGCATTCTGGTGACCATTTTAGCGGAGCGCCCTGTTTCGTGGCATCAAACCCTTTCCCCTTAGTTTTTAGCAAGTCAGTGAGGGGAAGGGCGATTTCGGCAAATCCCTTGATAAAAAATCTATAAAAGTTGGAGAATCCTAAGAACACTTGTAGTTGACATCTGGTTTTGGGGGGTTCCCACTCAATAACATCTTTAACTTTACCCGGGTCCATTTCCAACCCCCCTCCCGATATACGGTATCCCAAAAAGTCAATGTGTGATTGATGAAATTCACATTTCGACAGATTAGCAAACAGTTTGTGCTTGTGTAACGTTTTAAGGACCTTTCTGACCAGTTTTACATGGGAGGGTAGGTCCTGGGAGTACAGTAAAATGGCGTCCAAGTAAATAATCACCCCTTTAAACAAATAGTCATGGAGGACCTCATTGATTAGGTTCATGAAGACCCCAGGAGCCCCTTGAAGTCCGAAGGGCATTACCAAGTACTCAAACTGTCCCAGCGGGGTATTAAAAGCAGTCTTCCCCTCATCCCCCTCCCGGATTCTCACCCGGAAGTAAGCATCTCGTAAATCCAGTTTAGAAAAGATCTTCCCCTTAGTCGCTTCAGCAACTAAGTCCTTTATCAAGGGGAGTGGGTAAGCGTTTGTGGTAGAAACCACATTCAACCCTCTATAATCTGTACACAAACGGAGCCCCCCATCCTTCTTTTTCCGGAACAAAACAGGAGCAGCAAACGGTGACGATGCCGGACGAATAAAACCACGAGCAAGGTTTTTATCAATGAATTTACGGAGTTCTACTTTCTCCGCTGGCCCCATGGCATAAATTTTCCCCTTTGGAAGTTTGCACCCTGGCAAACGTTCAATGCCGCAATCAGCTTTACGGTGGGGGGGTAGCTCGTCAGCTTCTTCTTCCCCAAAGACCTGCGCCAGGTCATGATATTCCGGAGGGAGAGAGTCTAGTTCCATGGGAGTGAGAGTTGCACAAGGGAACGTGATCGGCGGCGGGGTTCCCCACGCCTCCTCCCACCTATGCGTGCAACATCTTGGGGAGACAAAATCAACTCTGCCCTCTTCCCAAAGTATGTATGGATCGTGGGAATACAGCCAGGGCGCTCCCAACACCATTGCAAATTGTGATTTAGGTGTCACAACAAAAGTTCTTTGTTCCCAATGTTCTCCCGCTCCCACCCGTAGTGGCATAGTCTCGTGAATACAAGGGTCCATGGGTGCCCCATCCATTTGGGTGAAAATGATGGGAGATTTTAATCGTTTGATGCCTGCTTCTAAGCTAGACACCACAGTGGGACTGATCAAGTCTCTCCCACAGCCCGAATCTATAAGGGCTTTGACTCGTACATGGGTCCCTAAAATTGGATTGATCAGAGAAACAGTCACAAAAAATAAAGAGGGGGGTTCTCTCACCACGATAGGCGCCTCGGGACTTGAGTCCTGCTGCTGTGCGCTCCTCACAGCAGGACGGTCTCGTTTCCCGACGGCTCCTGGTCAGATTCGGTTGAGTCTTCCATTGGATCCTCGGTGGCTGCTTGCAATGCCGGGGAGAACTTGGGCTTTGCGGTTCCCTTTTTCGGTTGGGACGAAGGTTTCCCTTTGGGAGCTGGAGATGACGTCTTGTCTTTCTTTATGCCGGTGCCACAATCCGCTGCGAAGTGTCCCCGTTCCCCACATTTTAAGCACAAACCCATCTTCATTCGGAGCTCACAGGCTGCTTCTGACAGTCGGGGCTGCCTCGGCTTTGGGGAGGGATTTTGGGTCATCTTCGCTCCTCCAGCCAGTAGATCCAACCATAGCGTTCGTAGTCTGTTCTCGGCATTTTCCACTTCTTGCGCCCAGGCCATCAAGGAGATTGGGTCCACTGAGCGTAGGACCATTTCTCGAATCTCAGTGTTAAGTCCCACTCGATACATTGCCAATCTCTCAGTTTGGCAGCCTGGGTTTGAAACTCGGCTGTGTAGTCTTGCACTGATCTCCTGCCTTGTTTGAACGTGCGGAGGAAAGCCTTTGCTCGTTGCCCCGCGTTTACGTCTTCGAAACGGGCTCTC